AACTGTAACACTCACACTTTAAATCAATAAATACAATTGTTGTGATACTTTTTCGTCTTGATTATTATTTTCTCGATGCGAATTTTATTGTGTACACGTGCTATTCTATTTTGATTAATAAAATGAGATTAAAAATAAAATTAATTATTTTCTTACTTATTCACAAGTTAAAGTCATTTTAAATGAATAAAAAATCAAAATAAGATTCTTTAAAAAGAATTGTCTATTAAGAAAGAGTCATTTTTGGATCAAACTATAAACAAGTAGGAGTATTTTTTTTTTATCAAACTAGTAAATTGGTAATGCCTGGAACACATTTTTATTTAATATCACATAGTTTAAGTGCATTTATTTATTTCTTTTAGCATATTTCCTTTCTACCTTTTTTGGTTAGGGAGAGTTTGCAAGCATTTCACATTCACTATTCCTCCCTTACCCCCCCCCCCCCCCCTCTCCCTCTCACAAACACAACACAAAAAATTGATACTACTTGTTTTGGAAATTTCCTTCAAATAGACAGTTTGGGTTAAGAAGCTCCTTGATCACTAAATAGGAATATTGCATAAATGTATAGCATAATAATTACTAGATAAGCTCTAACACCAGTAACATTATACTTTTCTAATCAGATATTGCACCCTTCATTGCCAATAATGCAGCTCCATAGGCAGCTTCAGTCTGGTCTGCCTTGCACACGGGCAAACCGAGTACCCTCTCGCGTATCTTTATCCATTTTTGGTTTTTAGAACCTCCTCCAGAAGTGATCACTTCTTCAACAGGGGTGGCCCCTAGATCCTTCAGCAACTTGTATCCCTTTGCCTAAATATCATAATGTCAGTATTAGCAAGTCCTAAATAGAAGCAAGATGTTATCTAGATTAGGAGGAACATGCCACCAAAGTCCAAACTACCTCAATGCGAGCAATTGATTCAAGAATACCATGCAAATATTCAACATCACTTTCTGGACGTGGATGTAACCTGCATGTAAATGGTAAGTGAGTAATGATTTATGTCGAAGATGAAAATTAGAAAGCACATAGATTGGATGTTATCAGAAAAGTGAAGGCGTGCGCATTATGATCTACAAAGATTGGGAATTTGTATTTTCCAAACATTGCAGGTGATAAGTCTATTTTCACCAGAAGGATACGACTCTAAAGGCCCCCTGCACAAACAACTCCAAACTTCTCTCGATTGCTGCATATTTCAGTACTGTACACAATAACATACATATGAAGAGTTTCAAAAATCCGTGGAATCTATCACAACAAGACACCGCGAAAAGTGGAGAATCTATTGAAAACAGAATAAGCAGAACTCTAAGACAATAATAGATCATTTTTGGGTTCTAGTGTAAGAAAAAAGGTCTCATATGATGAAATGAACCATCTCTAGCTTATACACAATTTGTATGCTTTGGCCTTTGCATAAAGAAGAAACCATTCGATATAACAAAATCAATAGGGTTGGTTGGTATTTATAAATCCAACCATGGATGTTGATGAAAGAGCGAAAAAGATGAAGTGACTGACAAAGAACCTGGTTCCCTGGATATTTAGTCCACCAAAATATTTGTGAAAAGATGACGTAAGAGAGTGATGATAAGAAGAAACAACTGGAGTCTCATTGGAAAAAAAAAATCACGATCAAGGAGCAACAAGTTGATTAGCCAGATGACAGTGACTGAAGAATGAAAGGAAGAGGAGATTGAAGAATAATGTTGCTTTCCTTGATGATTTTCATAGGGCACATTTAAAACCTTCCTTCATATAAGAGAACCTGGTTCCTAACCACCTTTCAAAAGCAAAAACCATTACTATCCTTGCTTCATGGCAGTGCTGTAGGCTTATGGAATTGTTTATTTGGTCTGGACCTTCATAGATCAAAAGGATGCATATACATGTGTATAATATGATGATTGGATCAAGATGGATGGTATCATCGATTCCTATGATGTCAAAATGGAAAAAATGAATTATGTTCTATTTTGAGAAATGTAATAATACATAACTATACATATCATTTAGAAACAAATAACCTGGTTCCTGAACTACATACTAGGAACAACAGCTTAATGAACCTGCTCTTTGTGCAGAGTTATGATTGATCCTGATCCTTGTGAAAGAAACATATGGATCTGATCTGATTCACATAACCTAGTCACTAACTGGATTGTGATGAGTGAAAGGTTAATCCCATGAAAGACTTATGTAAGAGCTCACATCTTACTAAGTCATGATGATTAACATGAGGCTGGTTCTTAGGGGGAAGATATCACCATGTACTTGCGACAACATTGATTGAATTATTTTTTTGTTAGGGGTTTGTCATATCGGAAAGAGGATATTGTTGAGCTACAAACCATGAACTAATATCGGCATGAGCTAGGGAGAGGTATGTGAGCTAGGGAGGTATGTGCTATGCTAACAATATAAAGTTAAGATGATTAACAAATGATTAGCAAACATAACAAAGCAACAAGAATCAGATCTCATACATGTGTCAAATAAGAACTGCTATTTGTTATGACAATGAACTACTAAATAACCAATTTTGTATCATGTCTAGTGCAGGAGCTGCATATCAAGAGTACGCAGCAAGGAAGTGAAGGAGCCAGGTCCTTCACTCTAGACAGGGAGAAGAAGATTGATCGAGACAGAGAAAATGCCAAGGAATGGAGAAGGATTCATTGAGAAATTCGGATTACAACTAGTTCAATGATATAAGGAACAAGAAGAATATAGTTGTGTCATCATATATGGAGACATGGAAAATGCTTCGGAAATAGGAGAGAAAAATAGTGGCCAAATGTGTGAAGCAAGAACCAAGTAAAACTAGGATTAAAATCTTGGACTGTTGATCTAATCCATGTGAATTGGGCATACACAGTGTGTCCATCTACTCCTATCTAAAGTGTCAAATTGATGTTGGTGAAGACATCCACAAATAGAGAGAAGAGAGCACACAAGAAATAGAATCAACTATGTGCCATTGTTTGTGAGAGAGAGTCAATAGGGGTGTACATAGGTCTGTTTGGTTTTTCATTTAAAAAAACCTAAACCAACTATGTCGGTTCATTAAATCTAAGAACCAAATCAAACCACATAAAGTTGGATTTCTTGGTTTTGACTTTAATTGGTTCTTTCGATTTCTCAATTTTTTTGTTTTTTTACAATTATGCGGTGATCGAAAAAGAGATCAAATATATTTTCACTTACATGTGTGATAAGCTTAACTATAAAAATGTTAAATGAATAGAAACCTTTGAAAGGATGGTAAAATTCACATGAGTACAAATACATTCATTGAAATACCAACGCTCATTAAGTTCATATGATTAAGGACTGCAGTCAAACTGAATACAAAACAAAATATCCACAAAGAAGATTGTTAACTTCGAAATAGTATAATTGTAACTTCCGATCAGAATACAAATAAAAATATTTACAAAAGTTTACAAGCCGATATTTGAAATAATATATCTAAACATTAAAAACTATAAACTAACTAAAAATATATTAACAAAGTAGAATTTAATGAATACTTTTTAACTACAAAATAAAATAAAATTATGTGTATATATATTATGTCGGTTTGGATTCGGTTTGACTTGTTTTTTTAATATCATACCAAACGAAGAGTGTTCGGGTTTTTTTCAACGCCAAACCAAATCATAAATTGATTTAACTTGGTTCGTCGGTTCGATTTGACTTTTCGGTTTGGCTTGTACACCCCTAAGAGTCAACTATACAACGACAAAATAATTTGTTTCCATCAAGTGTAATCTATAGTTCTATACTATTCTTGTTGTTGAAGTTTGATTTTTTGAGTTTAAATTGTAAACCTTTAGATTCCTAGTGATTTGTATTAGTCTTTTTTGTGTCGTAAAGGCTTTCTCGACGGGATAGAGTTGTTGAAGAAGTTAGATACAACCAAGTGAATTAGAGAGAGGGGAAAAAGTGTTATAGTAGTTAGTTTCTTGCTTGGTTGCAACCTAAAACTTGTAACTCAAATTTAAAGGTAATTTGAGGGGAAAGAGGGGTGGTAGTTTCATGACTCTCGGAAGAAGAGTTTTTTGCAAATAAAATTCTTCTGTTGATTAACTTTAGTTGCTCAACTTCCTGAAGTTAGTGGCCTTATTTATGCTGTTAGTGGCCCCTTCTATGGTAGTTAGTGGCAAATGTTCTTATTTAGTTTTAATGTTTATGTTTTTTCCTTGTATAAATTTAGACTTTCCGCAGATTAATATATAGCTGGAATTTCATAAGTTCACTCTATTTTTATTTTCCAAATCAGTTTCTTGAGTATCTTGTTCTAACAGTGGCATCAAAGCCTCTAGTTGATCTTACAGGACCAAAAAGTTTTAACCTACAACACAAATGGCATCCAACAACGTACCTTTTAATCCACCATTCACTTTCACTGGTGAAAATTACCAAATCTGGTCTGTGAAGATGCAAGCTTTTTTGGAAACCTATGAACTTTGGGAAGCTGTGACGGAAGATAAACCACTTGCTGCTCTACCATCAAATACTACCTTGGCTCATGTCAAATCCAACAACAAAGACAAAAAAATCTAAAGCCAAGTCGCTTATGCAGAATGCTGTGGTATATTTTGTGTTTTACAGAAACATGGCTTGCAAAACTACAAAAGAGGCTTGGGATAGGTTGAAAGAAGAATATCAAGGCAGTGATAGCACACATCAAATGCAAGTGTTGAGCGTGAAAAGAGAGATTTGAGTCCTTGAATATGCAGGAGGATGAAACTATCAGTAAGTATGTTGATTGAATCTCCTTAATTGTTAATAACATTAGACTTCTTGGTGAAGAATTTACAAACAAACGAATTGTGGAGAAGTTCTTGTGACTCTTCGTGAGAGGTTTGAATCTAAAATTTCCTCTCTTGAAGAATCCAAGGACCTGAGCAAACTTTCATTAGGTGAACTAATGAGAGCTCTTCAAGCACAAGAGCAAAGGAGAACTATGAGACAGGAAAAGTTCAGTCAAAGAGCTTTCTCTATACAAAAGCAAAAAGGAAAGCAACAATTCACCAAAAGAATAAGGCAAAGCATGATGGAGGAAACAATAGTGGAGATGTGAAGCAGAAGTTCCCTGCTTGCAAACATTGTAAAAGAAATACACATCTGGAGAAGTATTGTTGGTGGAGAGTCGATGCTATATGCGGCAACTGTAAGCAAACGGGACACATATCCAAGGTCTGCAAATCAAGAGCAAAGGCCTTTGGTGCTTTGCAAGCACAAGTAGCAGAAGCTGCAGATGCACATGAGGAGCAACTCTTTGCAGTTTCATACTTTTCAATCAATGAATCCTCTTATGCAGGGCTTCTTGATAGTGGTTGCACACATCACTTGTGCACTGATGTTGAACTGTTCAAATTCCTCGATGATATTTATAAATCTAAAGTAAAAATGGGAAACCATGAGGCAGTAGAAGTCAAAGGCAGAGGTACAGTGTCTATCTCAACAATATTAGGTATCAAAACTAATCCTAATGTTTTGTACACACCTGATATGAGTCAAAATTTGTTGAGTGTTGGACAAATGCTTGAAAATAATTATTCTCTGCATTTTAAGAATCGTGAATAAGTTGTTTCTGACCCTTCTGGAGTAGAGTTATTTTATGTCAAGATGAGCAACAAAGTTGATTGGGAGAAAATAATTGAGCAGGCTTACACTATTACTTCACAAACATGTACATACTTATGGCACAAAAGGTTTGGTCACTTCAATCTGAGAAGCATCGGAGATGATAAAAAGGGAGCTAGTGGAAAATATGCCTAAATTTCTTTCTAATGCACAAGTTTGTGAAACTCGCCAACAGGGAAAGCAAACAAAATTGTCATTTCAAGCAAATCAAGTACGGAGAGCTAACCAGAAACTTCAGCTCATTCATACGGATGTTAGCGGCCCAATGAAAACAGAATCACTGAGTGGTAACAAATACTTTCTCCTCTTTATTGATGACTACACCAGAATGTGTTGGGTTTATTTCATAAGACTAAAGAGTGAAGTTTTTGATGTTTTTAAACAATTTAAAGCTTTAGGAGAGGATCAATGTAATCTTAGTATTAAGGCTTTAAAGTCTGACAATGGTGGAGAATATACTTCTTCTCAATTTGTGGAGTTCTGTAATTACACAGGTATTAAACGCCAATTGAAATTACCATACACTCCACAACAAAATGGTGTGTCTGAAAGGAAGAACAGGACAGTAATGGAGATGGCCAATTATATTTTGCTCGAAACAAAGATCCCAAATCAGATTTGGGCTGAGGCAGTCAATACCTCTGTATATTTGCTTAACAGATTGTCTACTAAGGCTTTACAGGACATGACTCCATATGAATCTTGGTGTGGGAACAAACCATCCGTACACCATCTCAGAATCTTTGGATGTATATGTTATTATCGATAACTAGAAACAAAGAGGAGTAAGTTGGAATTTCATAAGTTCACTCTATTTTTATTTTTCAAATCAGTTTCTTGAGTATTTTGTTCTAACAGAGTTAATGATATGTTGGAGGTTTGGAGACAGAATTTGGAGTCTAAAATAAGACATAGAACTTAGAGTGAAAGTTCAACAACGTTACCCATAAGGTAGTTGTGAAAGTGAGGATTGTTACTCAAGTCAACTCCAAGAGAGGAAGTTTAAAGTATCTTGTGTCTATAATCTAAGAAAACTGGGAGATTGATGATGAGGTTACACACCGTATTGGAACAAAGTCGATGAAATAAAGGCTCACTAAGTGCCTTGTGTGATAAGAATGTGCAAGACTTAAAAGGTAAGTATTATAAAGTGATTGTCATAGCAGCTATGTTGTATGAGGCGAACTGTTGACCTGTAGAGATCGCATCCTTTATGATCTAAATTTAAAATTCGGATACAGATCCATACATATGGATACGGGTGTGGAAATTCAGCTAAAAATAATTCAAATATCTAACAGTAGAGGTATAAAACCGACATTATGAGATATTATGAAAAACTTGAGGAGAAATATTGATCAATAGGAAAATTCTGGAAGGAGATAAAAGAAAAAGAAGTATCAATAGAAATTTATATATACAAGGTATTCCATTTTCTTCAATTTCACCTTAGTTTTTGTTTTGAATACAGAAACATTGGATCTGTCTAGAATTCCTCCCTCGAACTTGGTCAAAGTACCCAAAATTGGTTGACCAGTTCGAGTACAGATCCCACACCCACACCTACGTCGTATCGACATGGGTGCGGCACCGAAAGTGAAGAGTTTGAACAACATAGGTGGAAATTAGCATATTAAGATTGATGTGCTAAGAACGAAGATATTTCGCGACAAGGTGGGAGTGGCCTCAATGGTGGACAAGATGAGGGAAGTAAGGCTGAGATGGTTCAGACATATGAAGATGAGATGCACACATGCCCTAGTGAGGAGGTATTAGGTTGACTATGGTGGGTAGGAGAAGAGAGATGTAGGCCCAAGGAGTATTGGGGAAATGTGATTAGATATGACATGATATGCTTACAACTTAATATGAGGATATGGAGGTCAAAAATTAGGGTAGAAGGTTAGTAAGTAGTTGAGCATTGTCTTGTTTCTTTAACTTGATTGTTATTGTTACTCTCCATCTTCTTATTATATGATTTTATTATTACCTATTGTTTCTTTGCTTTGGTTATCATATTATTTGTTGCTACTGTTCTCTTCTCCATATATAGTAGTTCCATACTTGATGTTAATATGCTTAGCAGAAACAACCTTTTTTGACCTTCACAATATAAGGGTAAGACAGCATACACATCACCCTCCACAAATCCACTTGTGGGATTTCACTCTGTATTTTATTGTTGTTGGATTACAAGAATCAATAGTTTGGAACACCTAGACACCATGGGCTTGTGGAAAAGCAGGATTCTATCTGAAAACTTCCAAGTCTATTGGACCATGAAGTAGACAACTCCATAATGGAGTAAATGTGTCTAAATGTGCCACTTGTAGAATCAAGAAATTCAAAGCAATAAGTTTGTTCCAACAAGCTGGTTATTCACTTTTGAGCAAGAAGCATAAGCATAGTTAAATACCTTGGCTCCATCTTTGGATCTGCCACAGGGAATCTTTCACCAACTGCTTGAAGGGGATAATAATCAAGAGGGGAAGTTTCAAAGGGATTTATCTGTTCACTTAGTTTCTCCAACTGCTCATCGGTGAAGAGTTGCCTAAGAACTGCTCCCCCTGTGTTTGAAGCACCTCCAACAAGCCATTTATCGTCAAGACGGTGGCTATATACTCCAAATCGAGCATCTTCTACCCTTCTGGAGCTTAGTAGTTTGATAGCAAGTGTTGAACCCAAAGATGTTACCTTAGTACGAGAACAAGCATGTGATTAACTTGAACCAAAAAACTTACTAGACCAGAGAGCAGAGCTAGTAATTTCTTTTTATGTGAAAATCTGTTTGCATAAAAATATCATAGACAATGAACTGATAGAGATTCCCTGTGCTATATGATCTGAGAGTTATAAAATACCTACACCAAAGGAGTACTTGGTAGACTAGATGATAAAACCATTAAATATATCAAGTTACAAGTTGTCTGATTATATCTGGAAAAGTATCTGCCAGAACTAACAACAGCACCTTTCTCATTATATATATTCTAAATCATAACAAATAAGTATACAAAACATACGGCTTTTCCAGGTTGAGTAGCTCGTGCTGCTAGAAACGCTGCTATACTGTCTGTGGTTCCTGTACAAATTAGGCAATCCTTTGGATAACCTGATAAAGTGAAGGAACACATTAGTAGCGAGTCTCTAATGTCCCAAAGCATCATCATGTTCTTGGAGCTTCAAAATCCAAGTTATCCAACCCGAATAATAAACAGGAATGGAAGTACTAGCAAGAAGTTTCTCTCTTTCTTGATTTTTGAACTAGAAAGGTAATGCAGAATCCCCACAGCAACTGCAAAGAACTAAATATTATAGGACAAATTTGGAATATTTCCAAATTAATAGAAGTAACTCAAGAGGCTATGAATTAGCAAAATGTGGTACAACATCAGAAAAAAGGCACTAAAAATCAACAATTCTTCGTGTTAATAATATATGCATAATCCCTCAATATGCTATGAAAAGTATGGAAAATTCCTCTCCCACGTAAAGAAGATCAATTGATGTTCACATCTCCTCCACCCTCACTGGCCTACGTATGTGTCTAGCAACCCAAATAAAAAATAATGGACCTAATATCGGTCCATGTAACACCAAGTAGTAACATTAATATTCATAAATTTCAATTGAGAAGATCTATTTGAGGACTAGCAAAATAGAAACACAATTTCCCACACCTAAAAACTGGAAGTAGAAAACAGGAAGCAGTTTCAGTCAATGATAATTCAACTAGCTTTAATCGATTTCCAAAGGAAAAAAAGTTAGGAACATACCAAACTGAGTTCTTATGTCCTCTTTCATACACCCAATTTTAGTACCAGGATCGTGTACAGAAGGTAAAAGATGAGAATATGGCTGAGATAGAAGCCAAGGCGGATAGGAATCCATTTCCGGATCATAGCCAACCTGCAACAAAAGGAAGCTTTAGTACATTAGTAGACACATGAGGTAAAAAGACAAACCGTGTGTTTATAACAGTTACCTTCAGAGCATTATTATAGTCAGACACGCCCAGCTTGCCATGGAGTAGCCACAATAACCAATCTGCTTGATGTAGCAATACAGCAGATTCCTTGCTAGAAGGATAAGAGTTCCACCATGAGACAAGCTTGCAAAGTGTAGAAGATCCAGAGCAGACTGTATGTTTTGCAGGAGCAATAGACTTCACCAAAGGCAAGGAATCAGGACAGCTCTCATTATACAGGAATGCTCTTGATAATGGCTCTTCGCTCCTACTGTAGAGAGAAACAATATATTCTTCAGGTAACTAGATGAAGAAAAGGGAAGTACAAAAATTAGCAACTACCAACCTATCGATGATGATAGTTGTTGCAGAGGTCCCATCGATGGCAATGGACGCAACAACTTTTCGGAGACTGACCGGGACATCATCAAGGAGTAAAAAGAGTGTGTCTTTCCATGATTGTATCCAGTCCATTTTTTCCTCTTTCTTTCTAGTAAATAAAAACAACTTCATTTCTTTTGAAGACATGTTTTACTAAATTAATTGGCTAGCATGATATAGATAGAACCGTATACACACCATATACTTTTATATACCACATTACCAGTAGGGGGGAGGCAGCATTTACTTAGAGGCTACATCCGAAATTAATTTTTTAGGTATATATAATAGATGTTAAACCCGTTCCACTAGTTCATGTGTTTAATATCAAATTTTGAACCTACTTATAAAAAATTCTGGCTCCGCCACTGATAGTTCCTCCAAAGAATCATTCATTTACTTTCATATATAGAAGTTAATGTACAAAGTTCTAACTCAAACCTCAAGAATTTGCACTCATTAATTACAACTATATTGCTTAAGTATTGTGAATATATAAGCTTACCATATAAAGTGGGTACTCTCTTTTTCCTTCAGCATGAATATTACCATCACCATCAATAAGAGAATATCGAGCTCCAGATGTTCCAAAATCCATACCAAGATAAAGCTTCTTGCCAATTTCAAAATCATTTGTAAAAATGGGATTTCTTCCTTTGCCAGATACACCACACTCTAACATTCTTGAGCTTAATTTTCTCCAACTCCTAAAATCCACACATGAACATGCACTACTCAAAATGCTGCTAGCCATTCTTTCACCTTATCTCTTTCTCCCTTGTCTCTCAATTTACAAATGATTGTAATTTATCCTCCACTCTTTTTCTTAGTTGCTTTACTTTTGGGGTAAATATTTATCAAAAAAAAAAATAATCATGTTTCTTTTCAAACCTATGGACACGCACGTTACTTCATAACGATGAATAAAATGATAAATAATTTAATTTTTAAAAAAATGTTTGTAATGTATAATTAACTTGAAGAATTTTTTTTACATTTAGTCCTCCCTTTATTATAATTTTGATATATAAATTATATATTTATTTTAAAAGATAAAATAAAGTAGCAAAAACAAAAATGGAGGCACACTATCTTATGATTAACTTTCTTAAAATGTCTTTTTTGTCTCATAAAAATGTTGAAATTAAATTAATATTTATACATTTCAAGAAGATAAAATGTTTGACATTAATTCGTAAAAGATGAAATTCTCCTTCTCATTAAGTAGAATGCAATTAAGTAATTAAAATTTATAAATAAAAAACTTATTAGAAGAAAATAACTAAGATTTAAAGTGCAATGATTCATATTTAAATTATGTAATTATACAAATAAAATATTAATATTTAATTAAATGAATCAGATTTAATTTAATGGAGAGTCAAAATGACAATATTAGTATTCTTACAGTTAAAAGTTTGCTAAAATATATTTTACATTTTTTTGTTAAAAAAATAATAGGAGCAATATTTGGTCAAAGGATAAAAAGATCTTCTAACTTCTTAAGCATTTTGGTGTATCATTTTTTCGACTTTGGAATTTGAATCTCATGATAATTTTAATGAAAATTGTCGAAAAACTATAGATTTTATCCACAAGCACATGTAAGAGTGATTCTTTACAAATATTTAAAATTTAAAATGCAAAAATATAATTATTAATATTTGAAATCAGAATATCTTGTAAGCATTAATTGTTCTGCATGTCTTATATACTATTTTTATGATTGTATTTGTCTCATTTTCTAAAGCAAAAAATACACCCTCAATCAAATATATTCTTAAAACAAAATTACAAATACAAAGAAAAAGTATTATATATAGGAGCAAGTTTAGCATAACGCAACCAACGAAAAATAGAAAAATGCTAAGACAATCTTTTTTCTGTTTTTTCTTGATAATGCAAATTGAAACAAAGTTATAGTAATAAACATTCAACTTTTGACCATAAAAAATTAAAATATTTGGAAGACACGTTAATGGAAGTGATATTGTACTACATAAATGGAGGGGTCTTACCATAGTTCTGATCTCGACAAATAAGTAAAAATAAATAAATTCATCAAGCTTCGATATTTTAGTAATTAACATTCATTCCTATAATCACATTATGCCTTGTAATCTTGACATAAATCCTCTTGCCTTGAAATTTTCTTCACTTGATTAAAACTTCTCTAGTCTTCCACACACAAAAATTGTATCACATGAAAATCTTTCTATAAAAATAATATTAAAAGATTGTATTTATAGGAAAAAATATAGCTTTGGAATATGAAGATTAACTTACAAAGTTGAAAGGTCAAGTGTTACAAAACTTAAAAACAAATATTAATTAAGAACATAAATTAATCTAGAAGATAAACCATATACATGTATCTATTTAAAGGGTAAATATTTAAAGAAGATAAATTAAATTAGATATTTTAATTAAGAATTAATCTAAAGAAGTGCAAAAGTCATTAACATTTCTATTAAAATACTATAATTAAATATTTAAATTAAATAATTAAATATTTTTATATCGTTTTAATTTATAATAAAGGTAAAATCGTAATTCAACTTTTAACTTTTTTGGTTCCCTCTTATAATAATATATGATTCTACTCTCTCGTGGTTTAGTGGTTTATGATATTATCTTTATCTTTTTTTAAAAAAAATTGACTTTTTAAGAAAATTCTTTAGATTTATATTTAAAATAAAATATAAATTAATTTTGATTTAACAAATATATCTTTCTTTATATTAAATCTTCAAACTAATGATAGATGAAAAAAATCGACTTATTTAATATATACTCTAAAAATAATCCAATAAAAATAAATATTCTTTGTTAAAAAGAATGATTTAATTTAACTTAGAAATGAAGTTTATAAAGAAAAAAAATTTAATTATGATTTAAAATTAAAATTATATTAATATATCATTTAATCTTGTGATTTGATATATGTTAGCTGAAAAATTAATATTAAAGTATCATCTAAAAAGAAAAAAATCACTTTTTTTTGAAATAGAGAAACACAAAATGTGCCTAAGTTGATGGAATCGAAAAAACTAAAACTAAAAATGCAGCAATTAGTATGAGGAAATTACCTTTCATCTTTGTTTAGTAAAAAATGAACACATGTATCGATACATATGCATAATATATGATGATAGTATTAATTAATTTCTATTTTGGTCTATTTTTAAAAAGTATTTAGTAAATGTATATTATTAAACAAATCAATTTTATAACAATATGCATTAGTATTAGTACGAAGAAATTAATATAAAGAAGGAAAAAAATGTCAAAATGTAATTAATTTATATTTATTTTAAAATTTAAAAAATGGCTATAAAAAAATTAAAATAAAAGAGATAGGTATAATATCATAAACCACAAGGGTTGAATGGTATAGAGCAAAACCTCTCAGATTATCCCTTAAAAAAGTTATTTTTATCACATCATACTTTCTTTTATACTAGTTCCTCAACATGTTCATTTCATGCTAATTAATATTAATATGAATAATATTGAGTATGTATGTGATGAAAATTGTAGAAGAAAAATATAAGTACGGTGTGATGAAGGATTAGCCCCTCAGAGTGATATTTATTGCAAAACTTTAACATTTAAAATTATTTTCAGAAATAAACGTGAAAATATTTTTAGAGGTGAAATATGAATCTAGGAAGAAAAATGACTTCGTTTAGTACCCTCTTTTAATATCATTGGATCGGAATAGTGAGTGTATGAATAAGTAGAAACCACAATTAAGTTGACTATGAATAATTCAAAAAAGAGAATCAAAATATTACAAAGATAGCAAGTTAATAAAGAAGAAAAAACAAATAAAATGAACTTTTGCACAATTCAAAAATGGACGTGATAACACTTGTCTATTTCCACCAAGACAAATCAGCTTCAACCGACGAAACGAAAGAAATGACCAAAGTAACGCAAAGACAAGATAAAAATGGAAGGGCTATTCATTCTATTATAACTCTAAAACCTGATTGTCACGTGAACAAGCCATTAATATATAAAATACGGAAATAAAAAAAAATAATTACAAGCCTCAATGTATTTGTTTCTCAAATAGAACAAAACATAAAATAAGGAACGACTTCGATTGAAAGTTTCAACATCTTATTTCAGTCTGGAATACCAAATTTCATGGTGTAGCATAATTCATTTATAACACATGGTTCCAAACAACCCTCAATCATTCAAGCGGAGTTCGTTGCGACTTAGCAAATTTTTCTAGTGCACTGTGTTGGTGTAACTGATCAAGTAGCCCTATCACCTTGCAAGGAAGCCACTTTAGCGTCCACTATCGTCTGACCCCATTTGCAGCCCTAGCTTCATTTACCCCTCAGGTGTAACTGGCGTCGTTGTCCTCTAAAGGACTAAGATAAGCCCTTAGAATACATCATAGCACATCATATTTCAAAAGTTTCGAATGAATTTAAGACTTTACATATGGAGTTTACATAGACTCCTCACACACGAAGTGTACATAGACTTCTCTTTAGCATAACAAATCATATAGAAGTCTAAAGTCTCATCTCACATATAAACCATCTACAAGAATATGAATCAAAATAGTTTGGGCATAGCCCTTAGTCTATTTCAATATATCATATAGGCTACAATGAAGTCTCAATATAAGAATGGAATAATTGTCAAAACATAGACAAAATACATAAGGCTTGATGAGTGGCTCTATCCTCGGAACTCATGAGGACTTACCAATTGACTTAGGAAAGAGCCAAGTTTTCTTCTTCAATGACTACGAATCTCTTCAATGGCCTGAACCTAAAATATTTGGGAAATAAGGAGAAAATATGGGTTAGTACAAACCACATGTACTATGTATGGTAACTATGCACAAAAATCATCAATGCAGTAGAAAAGGACAATTTAGTCAAAATCATGTTTTCTATCAATTTACTGAACATGCATATATAAGAAGCATAAGAAGTCAATTCTATATAATAGCAACCCAACATGTAGATCACCTAAGCAATACTGTGCAATGTCAAATAGAACCGTATAATCCTATCTAAGGTTAAGTACCACATTAAGCAATCCGCTTCATACTTACAACATATTCTCTTAAAGTCATCATAACATGATTAATACATGAATACTACTCATAGCTTATCAACATAATCATAATCATAAAAGAACACTACTAGAACCATCCTTTAGGATCCCACATGTGCAATGAGTGAGAGAAGTATTATACCCCCCTCATCCTAAGTAATATCCTTCGAGACAACCCTAATAAATTACTTAACTTGTTCTTTACTTTTACATTAGGGAAATAAGTGCAATTACTGACATGAGACCATGTGAGCTACATAGAATCCGGTGTTCTACTCCCACACCAAAAAGAGAACATTTGCCTAAGGTGTAACCATTCATACATAGTTATCTAGGTAGATCCACTAAGCTAGAGTCTTATGTGGGCACATAGTTAAGGGTCAAGAAGATTGTTGCTAAAAACCTTCACTTACTAGACGTAGAGATTTCCATCTCATGAGACAACACATAACTAGGGAATCGAACTTACTAACATGATAAAACCCATATGGGAGGCCGGACTTACTAAACGTGAGACCTCCATCACATTTACATGACCTTTCGGTGCTAAGCATTCTTCCTTTTAGTAATAATCATACTCATCATTCAAGATCACATTAGTCTCTTCTAGACTCCTATGTGAACATCTATCATAACAGCTCATAGGAATTCATGAGTGAGAACTAACGTGTTACTTAAGAAACCACATAACCTTTCACATAATACTTTATCTTAATTATAATGAACTATTTTCAA